TATGGTCAATATGGATACCCCCTCCCGACCCACAAAATTAGGTTCTCATTCTTGTTATTGCATACTCTTCTCTAAACACATGCTTTGTGGATGGTGATTGAAGTTTTATGCTCCTATGATTTATACATTGGGACAATGTATCTTAAGTGTGGGGGGTGCATCTCAAGGGTAGCTAAACAAATTTTGTGTGCAAAATATTTTTTTTTAGGGAAGGTAAAAATTATGTTATTCTCTTTTTAATGGGTATTTGGTTGAGAAAGTTTTTTTTTTTTATTATTCACATAAAAATATCATTTTTTTTAGATTTATTACACTACCTTTTACTCTTGAAAACCACTTCCAAAAGAACTCTTGTGATTAGGAACACCATCTTCTTTCATTTCCAACAATGGTTTAAGTACATCTCAAATATTCAAGAACCGTTTTGGAAAACAAGCCACCCTCATATCCCATCAAATAAATTGGGATGATCAAAATGACTTCAGTAAAAAAAAAAAAAACTCATGATCTCTTTCAAGAATTCCAACTGATCCACTTCCATACTGAAAAGTCAAATACATCAAAAAAAAAAAAAACCATCCTACACCCCAAAAAAAAAAAATCCTAGTCACAATCCATTCATCTCCTCTCAAGAGTATAAGTAATTTTTCTAAATCTAATGATATTTTTTTTGTGTTTAATAGAAAAATGGGTTTTGGACCGAGAACGAAAAAAAGAGTTTACAAACATTTTTTTTACCTCTCTTAAAATAATTTATTTTTATGCATATATTTTTGTTGAACTAACCAAGGCATCAAAAGGCGACAACATTGCTCGAGGACTAGCAACGCTCAAGTGTGGGGGAATTTGATAAGCACAATAATTACTTATGTTTTACATAAAGTAATTACATTTATCTGTACAAAAATATGAAGCAAAAACAGATAAATATTCTCGAGTTAGCGGAAACATGAAATACGACATGGAGCAATAAAAATAGGGTCAACAGTCAAAAGGGATCGAAAACCGGCACTTCGGGATCAATTTCGGGCATCAAACGAAGAAAAGAAGCGAAGTACAAAATTGGGCGCAGGGACCGGCGCCGGAAGTCCCTATAACCGGCGCCGGTCGTCAGGAATTTTTGCCCAATTCGGCCCTGTTTCCAACCGGCGCAGCACAACCGGTGCATTTTTGCACCCAACCGGCGCCGGACATGCTATAACCGGCGCCGGTTGTTCCGATTTTTTGCTAAAACAGTCCGACGTGCAGAAGATTTCTGATGGGAAAAACCCATCTTCCTCCATATCTGATCAAATATTGCTTCCATATCCGATTGTTAGGCTTGAATAGACTAAAAGATGCCATTCTTTAGCCTATATAAAGCCCTTAATTCATCAAGCAATGATATTCCATTCCATAGATTAATTCTTAGTCTTTATACTTTGTTTTTGCTTTTGTTCTTCAAGTTCTTGAGGAGGAAACTTCAACCTCCGAAACCATTGGTGTTTAGGTATTATTTCCTTTGTAATTTCATGTTCCATTACATTTCAATATTGTATTGTGATTAATATGAGCATTAGAGGCTAATTTCTTAGCTAAGGCTAGGGATGAACCTCTATGCACACTAGGTATTTGATAAAAGTTCTAAACCAATAAATTGTGATTTATCCTTTATATTTTGATTGTTTATGACTATGGTGTACAACATAGAAGTATGTTAAATCTAGTTTATGCTTGCAATTAACGTTGGAGTCTAAACTATGAACATTAAAGGATAAACATATATAGTACCGAGAATAGAAATATATCCGGTCTTATATGATACAGGTGTGATGTCTTGATATTCAACGGGGTTTTCGGTAGATGAATGTAAGCCGTAACGGGACTTACACGTAACGAAAACCACGCTCTCGCTGCCTTAACCGGAGTTGAGAATATATTAGCGACATCGTATTCATGATTATTGGGGAAGAACTATTATTAAACAAATATTAAAGCATTTAGGTGAATCCCGATTGCCTTAGTAATTCTCATTCTTGTTTAAACCAATCTCAAAGAGCAAAGTTCCTGAAAAAAATATATCATTTACATTCTTTGCATTCAATACTCGACTTTATAATATCAACCATTTCCCTGTGGATCGACCCGGTATTTACCGGTATTTTATTACTACATCGGCACTTGTATACTTGCAAGTTCAGCCCGATCAATCCTCCTCAACAAGAAGGCATCCATGAAGGGATTCGTACTAGATCATCACTCTAAAGGGAAGCCAACTTCTCTCTCAAACAAACTGAATCCAAGAAACCTTCTCAACTTCAGACTGGATACGAACCATACACAAAGTTCTCTATCTTAGAGAAGAATGATAACTTGTGAAGGGTATTCAAAAAAAATTGGATGATGAAGGTACCATCATCAAGAAAGGCCTTTGCCTTTCTGAATGATCTACTAAAAGAGGAGGACCATGTGAAGAAAGGAGCCCCAAAAGAATGAAGAACTCAACTCTAGAACTAAGGGGAATTCCTAGCCACCTGCTGAGGGGGAACTCTTATAAAATACTCAAGGATAGCCGGCTGTATAAAGCAGACTACAATGAGTACAGACCATACTGCTCAAAAGAACCCTCTGAAGAACCAGCATCCTGCCTGAGTCCACTGCTGAGCCCTTGATAAAGACAAGAAAAGTAGTCTAGTGCATCCACCCCAAAGGAATAAAGCATCAAGGTCCAAGGAAGTCAATCTCAGACTTTCAATTAAGAAGGGGGAACAAATCCAAACAGAAGATCAGCAGATGTCTAAGCAGCAGACTCAGCAGACAACTGACACTCAGGTCACTGCTCAAAAGGACTGCATTAATGCTCTCAATAAGTGCCTACCAGCAGGTGCCTACCTCAGAAGCAAGGCACTTTGTCAAAGGCAGGTGTCTCATGATAGCAGGTGACTGACAATAAACCCACTGCTAATTCTCAAACACATTCAAGTTACCTGAGTCAATCATCTTGGCATCAATTGAGGGGGAACTAGAAAATTCCATATATAAAGGAGACTTCTAAGAAGCATCATCTAAGGGGAAATGGGTATTGCTCTACAAGAGTCATGATCAATGGAACAGATGAATCAACACTCTGAGATCAAGTATTATTCATAAAGGTACCATGCTCATTCATTCAAACTCAGTAGTATGGAATAATCGAAAAATGCTACTATTCTGAAAAATCCTAATTTTTATTAGTGAAAATTCATCCTAATAAAATAAAGGATACTCAACAAAATAGTTAGCACCTTATTGATTACTGTTGGTCATAAACCTAACAGAAACAGTAGTCTAGAATTTTCCATATCTAAGCCAACAAGAACATACACGAGGAAGTATCAGACTTCATCAATGCTAAAGAAGGCTATGAGACATGCAACATGCAAGAACGACACTTGCTGATCCAAGATTAAGCGGCTTCATAAATGATAAGACCCCAATATCATTTAATTCTCACGCTTTCTCTTCAAAAGAGAAACCTGCCGCTTAAACAGGTCTTGGTTAAATAAAAACTAATCTCGGAAAACGAAAAGATCATCTGCACAATTGGATATAAATCCCTCCTCCAAAGCCGATGTTAGTTCATTCCAAATTCTTCCTTAGAGCTCCGACATCCTTATTCTTTCTTAATCTTCCTCAAAGCTCCTCTACCTCAAAAATGGCCGATAACAACTCCAACAACAAACCTTTTGAACCATTCCTGAACCTCTCACTAGCCCAACCTTCCTCCACACAACAGCCTACTCCACAACAGCTGGATCAAGAAGAATTCTTAAACTTAAGAATCCAGTCTCTCAAAGAAAAGGAAGCTCTTGAAAACCAACTCACAAGAGTCCTCAACTGGAGAAAATGGAGAACGGCCCCTATTGACATGCTCTCTCAAGCCACTGCATTTGTCAGAGTTGAAGAACAATTTGTTCTTCAATGGCTTCAAGCCCCAAATGTGGAAGCTGCCATGAACATCCCTGGGATTTGGCGAGTCTTCTATGAGAAAATGAACAACCTCAGAGAGAAGGATCATCAAAGGATGCAGAAGAGGCTCTCAAACCTTGCCCAAGGAGAATCATCAAGCAGAAGGAGAAGGACCGAGTGATTTGTGAATGCTACCAAAAGAGGGGGAAAGAGAGTTTTAAGTAATTAGAACTCTTCTTTTGGCATCATCACAAAAGGGGGAAATTGTTAGACCCTAGATTTTGATGAACTGTTTTGATGATGCCAAAAGACTTTTGTTATCCCCCCTCTATTGTAGCATTATTATAAGAGTCTTTGTTATCCTCTGTAGTAGCATCTTGCAGTTGTCAAGTACTAAGAAAATTATCTAGATATGTCGTGCTCCTTTTTATAGTTAACAAATAAATATGACTGGAAAACCATAAGATGCAATAAGGCAATATTGAATTGTCTTAAAAGGATATCGTATAAATCCAACCAGTTATATTTATTTGTTACACACTATAATATCTCGAACAAATGAACTATCTATTTTAACTGGAAAACAAAATGCAATAAGGTAATTTTACCTTAATAGGAGTTGATATCCTACCAGTTAAATATATAGTTTATCATGTTCGACATACTAGATAAACCATACACTCAGAAGAAGAGTTCTTGATTGTGACACTTCAAAAATTTTAAATAAAATAGAATGAATAATTTTAATAAGATCAATTGGAAATATTACAAAAGTGACATTTTATACGTGTGATAATAAAGTTTACTAGGTAAATAATAATAATAATAATATTTATGCTAAACAAGGAAAACACGTATACAATTAAGGGAGATTGAAATTTCAAACTAAAAATATCACGACTAACCATATATATATACGTAAAAGTAATAATATAATATATTTAATAATATTAATACACACGTTTGCATATGGTGAGGACTTCGAATGAACTCTGAGCTGATTGGGCTAATAAGATGAAACCCTAAACATTAGAGACCTAGAATCTTCGACTTATCAGTATAAATAGCAGCCTTGCGATCAACCTACGCTGCACAAAACGTGAGAAAACGAGAGAAAAGAAAGTGAGAAAAAGAGAGAAGAAAAGAAACGTGAGAAAGAGAGGGTGAACGTTTGGAAGAAGAAGAAAGGCCGATCATCTGGAAGCGTTGCCGGAGAAGGAAACTGCCGGAGTGCTGCCGTCCTCTTAAGGAAGCGACTTTGACCGTCGTACCACCTTCCATCGTCAAGGTAAGGCCGTACGTTCATCTCTGTGAAACCTCGTTTTCCATGCGAAGAAGATAACGAGCTAATTCCCTTAGTTCGAAAATAAATAAAATAATGACAACAATGATAGAAAAAGGTGGACATGATAATAATAATAATAGTAATATAATAACAACAATGGATCGGTTACTGTTTATACATATACAGAATTGAATGATTAATGATAAACAATTATTAACCGGTTATTAGAATAAAATAAATTTGGACTGTTTAGACTACACCGGTTGAATTACTATGAAATAATGGACATTTGGATTATATTAAAGTACACTACGAATATGAAAACGAAAACAGATTATCATAATGGACTACATTTGTTATTATAACTGAACCTTTTATTTTTGAGTCAACTTTATGAAACTAGATTGAACTAATAAAAGTAAACTGAGTTAGGCCGATTGTTTTATCTGTTAAAAGAGAAGTTAATGATGGCGAGGTTGATAATACTCTGATGATATACAATGGACGGATTAAATTAAAATGGAACTTTTACTATTGGACCGATTGAATTATTATAGTAATAGATCGAGCAACTCATATATAAATATAAAATAAAACAGCTAGGTAGATTATTCGACAGATTATTTGTAATAACCAGGCCAATTAATATGATTAAATACTTGTATCGGATTAAATAAACAGAGGTATACATTGACAGAAGTCACAGAACCAATGGTATACATTAAGTTAATGATTCGATAACAGATTAAATTAGATTAACTATAAATAATAGACTACACCGCTTAATATCATGTTGATAAATAATCAGGAATCGGGTAAAAGTAGTAAAACAGAATAGCCTGGACTGGATTGTATTAACGATCCAATAAATTAAAACAAATAAAACTATGGAAAAATAGAATAATTTACTTATTGTTAAATTTTAAATAATAGAAGGACAGTTGGGAGAAGAAGCTGATAGGGAAGCTTGTTAGGAATATCGGGAATCTGAGGTAAGTTTCATTGCAACCAAAATTATACCTTTTTACCTCGTAACTATTTTGAAACTTTTTATGTGATTATGTGTAATCTGTTTAAGTAAATATTATTCTATGAAATTGTATGTACTTGATATATTGAATTATTATTATGGAATTTCGATGTGAGTTATTATTGTATATGATTTTTGGGAGACCTCATACTGGTGAATATTTTGGTGTTGTGATTAAATTGGATTTTGAGAAAATTATATGGAAATTTTAGTGTATTTTTGAAAGATACGAACTTTTGATTGGATTTCGAGAAAAACAAAGGAAAGTGAATATTTTCAATGGTGGGGCACCGCGGGAGAAATCCGTAGGTGTCGGTCCCCTTCACGACCGTTAATGGTGAAGGATTCCTATATGGAATTTTGGGAAGAGATAAAAGACTAAATGATTTTTCATAAATTAAAGGTGGGCATCACGGGAGAAATCCGTGGTGTCGGTCCCCTTCACGACCGTTAATTGTGAAGGAGTGATTAGGGATGCTACTATTTGCTTGGTGGGTTCGGTAACCAATCCGAACAATTTAAATAAATGATTTGGTGCGTTCGGTAGAAAAATCCCGAACGATAGATATATATTTGGTGAATTTTGGCAATAGTAGCGGTACTTAGTCACTTAGAATTAAATTTTGGGTGAAGTGGTCGGTAGAAAACATCCCGACTACTTTGGGCTTCTTACTACCCGGAGGGCTTGGAATCCCTTTCAGGGGGTGTGCACACTTAAGGTAGAGGTTCAGATTCTATATGGGTAAGATGTGGTACCGGTAAAAAGTCCGGGGTGGCCGTACATAACAACGAACCACCGGGCTCAATAAGAGCTTGAGCACCGCCCTTCTAAATTACTAGGATATTTAGTGAAAAGAATTTTGAGAAACTCAAAGAGAAAATTTTGGTGTACTTGTTTGAAAAGCTTTACTTTGGTAACATGGTACATGAGAATCACACCTTTTGATGGATAATGGTATTTGTGGAAATTATTGTGATTTGGAAATGTGTGTCTATATTTGAAATATTATTATTTTAATTACTTGTGAATTGTGTGATTTAAAAGTGTATAAATATTGTTTTATTACTTATGAGCGGTATAAAATGTTTTGAAAGGTTTTCTCCAAAACGTTTTCCAAAAAAAATTATATATATATGTACCAAACATGATTATTTTACGGGGTTGGGTGGGACTTACTTAGCATTTCCGGCTAATTTTTGTTTCTTTGTTTTCTTTTCTCCCCTTTATTTACAGATGATTATGCCTTGGATGATGATATGCTCGCTTGAGTTCTTGAGGGCGCTATTTAGAGACATCTTCATTAATAAGACTTTACTTTATATAGAGGACATCTTTACTTTTTAATTTCCCTCACTTTAGAATATTTAGACAAGTATTTTTGGTTAGCCTGTGCACTTAGCTATGGATATGCTAAGTGTGGCGGTAACACGCTCAATTTCCTTTTTGTCATTCCGCTGCAACATTTTAAGTATTTCTAAATAAAGTTCATCATTTTCATTTGGATAAATTCTTATTTCAATATTTTTTTTGGGTGGGAAATTGGGGGTGTTACAAGTTGGTATCAGAGCCCTTCTTTTTAAAATGTTTTTCACAAAAAAAAAATTCTAAAGGATTTTTTTTAAAATAAAAATGTTTTACTTAAGAAGCTAGGGAAAATTGACTAGGAAACAAAATAAGATTTATAGGACCGCGGTGAGGATTGTGTGATTTATTCTTTCCTACTCGTTGTGTTTATATGTATGATATTTGCTATTAAATGTGTGTGGGCCATATGTGAAATGGGAACCCCAAATAGTGGAGAATTGTGGGAAAAGCCTTAAGAAAAAGGCAAATTCAAGGCCAAGGTATGTAAATCCTTTCATGTGTGGTGCTTGTGAAATTTTTGGAATCAAAACGTGAAAGCATTATGTGGCCATATATTCTTGTGAAATCCTTAGATTAGGATAACTAAGAACCAAATTAGGAAAATCTTGTACATACTAATATGAGGTACTTATCCTTTCATGGAGACACCATGCCACCAAGACGTGACCCGAATGTCGTGCCTACTAATGCTGAGCTGGCGCAAGCTCTCGCGCAGCTCACCCAGACAGTCACTATGGCATTTCAAAATCAACCCAACAACGGCAATAACATGGAAAGTCGTGTAGCGGCACGAAACCCGCCGAGTTTCCTTGGGCAAGAGGATCCAGTCCTTCTCGAGAATTGGATACGCACCTTCGACAAGTTGTTTGATGCGATCAATTGCCCGGAAGATCAACAAATTAACATTGCTGTTTATTATCTGCATGAAGAAGCAGATAAATGGTGGGTTCATGTGGGACCAGGGATGAGCGCACAACCAGACTTCACTTGGGACCGGTTCAAGCGTGCACTGCGAAAAAGATTTTACCCGCCACACGTACAAGCAGAAAATCGTGACAAGTTCCTACACTTGAAACAGGGGGAAATGACGGTGCAAGAGTATCACAGTCAATTTGTCACATTGGCAGAATTTGCAACATCACTTGTACCCGATGAGGAGAGTAAGATCGAGAAGTTCATCGGAGGACTAAACTTCGACACACAGAAGATGATGACTGTGCAAGATTGGCAAACATTGGATGATGCCTATTACAAAGCTGCGAAGCACTATCGGGTAACTAAACTCCAGCGAGAGGCACAAAAGAAAGCTAGGAAAAATGAGGAGGAGAACGAGCAAGAGGAGAAGAAGTTAAAAACTCACCATCAAGGGCAGTCTGTGACAAAAGCTAATCGATCATATGAGGAGAGAAGATTTCCGGTGCAGATTCCGACGAAGGTAGGGAAGGAGAGACACTTTAACTGTAAGAGGTGCAAGCAAGACCATCCCGGCGTTGACTGCGCCGGTGAGAAAGTAACATGCTATTTTTGTGGTAAGTTGGGTCATCGGGCGTACGAATGTTGGTATAACCCGGAGAAGGGGATCAAACGTCAAAGGTCAGATCAAGTAGAAAGGGAATCAAAAAGGAAATCGGCCGGAGGCCATGGCAAATCGCGACAATAACAACGGGAATAACAAAGCTCCTAACAAGGGCCGGATATATGTTATGAGCCAGACACAAGCCATGAATCACGATGGCAATCCAGGTATAAATAGCGTTAATACCTTATATTCACGGATGTACCTCGGCATGAGAGAAGGATATACGCAAACAATATCCGAAAATTTTTCAGTCGAGGTGCATTGATTTTTGGTTACGAGGACGTAACCTCTCTTTTAGGGAGATGGGTTATAACACTCCATATTAATAAAACTTCTTAAATACTTTTGACTTAGCTTATGCTTCGAGGACGAAGCATCTTTTAAGGAGGGTAGAATGTGACACTTCAAAAATTTTAAATAAAATAGAATGAATAATTTTAATAAGATCAATTGGAAATATTACAAAAGTGACATTTTATACGTGTGATAATAAAGTTTACTAGGTAAATAATAATAATAATAATATTTATGCTAAACAAGGAAAACACGTATACAATTAAGGGAGATTGAAATTTCAAACTAAAAATATCACGACTAACCATATATATATACGTAAAAGTAATAATATAATATATTTAATAATATTAATACACACGTTTGCATATGGTGAGGACTTCGAATGAACTCTGAGCTGATTGGGCTAATAAGATGAAACCCTAAACATTAGAGACCTAGAATCTTCGACTTATCAGTATAAATAGCAGCCTTGCGATCAACCTACGCTGCACAAAACGTGAGAAAACGAGAGAAAAGAAAGTGAGAAAAAGAGAGAAGAAAAGAAACGTGAGAAAGAGAGGGTGAACGTTTGGAAGAAGAAGAAAGGCCGATCATCTGGAAGCGTTGCCGGAGAAGGAAACTGCCGGAGTGCTGCCGTCCTCTTAAGGAAGCGACTTTGACCGTCGTACCACCTTCCATCGTCAAGGTAAGGCCGTACGTTCATCTCTGTGAAACCTCGTTTTCCATGCGAAGAAGATAACGAGCTAATTCCCTTAGTTCGAAAATAAATAAAATAATGACAACAATGATAGAAAAAGGTGGACATGATAATAATAATAATAGTAATATAATAACAACAATGGATCGGTTACTGTTTATACATATACAGAATTGAATGATTAATGATAAACAATTATTAACCGGTTATTAGAATAAAATAAATTTGGACTGTTTAGACTACACCGGTTGAATTACTATGAAATAATGGACATTTGGATTATATTAAAGTACACTACGAATATGAAAACGAAAACAGATTATCATAATGGACTACATTTGTTATTATAACTGAACCTTTTATTTTTGAGTCAACTTTATGAAACTAGATTGAACTAATAAAAGTAAACTGAGTTAGGCCGATTGTTTTATCTGTTAAAAGAGAAGTTAATGATGGCGAGGTTGATAATACTCTGATGATATACAATGGACGGATTAAATTAAAATGGAACTTTTACTATTGGACCGATTGAATTATTATAGTAATAGATCGAGCAACTCATATATAAATATAAAATAAAACAGCTAGGTAGATTATTCGACAGATTATTTGTAATAACCAGGCCAATTAATATGATTAAATACTTGTATCGGATTAAATAAACAGAGGTATACATTGACAGAAGTCACAGAACCAATGGTATACATTAAGTTAATGATTCGATAACAGATTAAATTAGATTAACTATAAATAATAGACTACACCGCTTAATATCATGTTGATAAATAATCAGGAATCGGGTAAAAGTAGTAAAACAGAATAGCCTGGACTGGATTGTATTAACGATCCAATAAATTAAAACAAATAAAACTATGGAAAAATAGAATAATTTACTTATTGTTAAATTTTAAATAATAGAAGGACAGTTGGGAGAAGAAGCTGATAGGGAAGCTTGTTAGGAATATCGGGAATCTGAGGTAAGTTTCATTGCAACCAAAATTATACCTTTTTACCTCGTAACTATTTTGAAACTTTTTATGTGATTATGTGTAATCTGTTTAAGTAAATATTATTCTATGAAATTGTATGTACTTGATATATTGAATTATTATTATGGAATTTCGATGTGAGTTATTATTGTATATGATTTTTGGGAGACCTCATACTGGTGAATATTTTGGTGTTGTGATTAAATTGGATTTTGAGAAAATTATATGGAAATTTTAGTGTATTTTTGAAAGATACGAACTTTTGATTGGATTTCGAGAAAAACAAAGGAAAGTGAATATTTTCAATGGTGGGGCACCGCGGGAGAAATCCGTAGGTGTCGGTCCCCTTCACGACCGTTAATGGTGAAGGATTCCTATATGGAATTTTGGGAAGAGATAAAAGACTAAATGATTTTTCATAAATTAAAGGTGGGCATCACGGGAGAAATCCGTGGTGTCGGTCCCCTTCACGACCGTTAATTGTGAAGGAGTGATTAGGGATGCTACTATTTGCTTGGTGGGTTCGGTAACCAATCCGAACAATTTAAATAAATGATTTGGTGCGTTCGGTAGAAAAATCCCGAACGATAGATATATATTTGGTGAATTTTGGCAATAGTAGCGGTACTTAGTCACTTAGAATTAAATTTTGGGTGAAGTGGTCGGTAGAAAACATCCCGACTACTTTGGGCTTCTTACTACCCGGAGGGCTTGGAATCCCTTTCAGGGGGTGTGCACACTTAAGGTAGAGGTTCAGATTCTATATGGGTAAGATGTGGTACCGGTAAAAAGTCCGGGGTGGCCGTACATAACAACGAACCACCGGGCTCAATAAGAGCTTGAGCACCGCCCTTCTAAATTACTAGGATATTTAGTGAAAAGAATTTTGAGAAACTCAAAGAGAAAATTTTGGTGTACTTGTTTGAAAAGCTTTACTTTGGTAACATGGTACATGAGAATCACACCTTTTGATGGATAATGGTATTTGTGGAAATTATTGTGATTTGGAAATGTGTGTCTATATTTGAAATATTATTATTTTAATTACTTGTGAATTGTGTGATTTAAAAGTGTATAAATATTGTTTTATTACTTATGAGCGGTATAAAATGTTTTGAAAGGTTTTCTCCAAAACGTTTTCCAAAAAAAATTATATATATATGTACCAAACATGATTATTTTACGGGGTTGGGTGGGACTTACTTAGCATTTCCGGCTAATTTTTGTTTCTTTGTTTTCTTTTCTCCCCTTTATTTACAGATGATTATGCCTTGGATGATGATATGCTCGCTTGAGTTCTTGAGGGCGCTATTTAGAGACATCTTCATTAATAAGACTTTACTTTATATAGAGGACATCTTTACTTTTTAATTTCCCTCACTTTAGAATATTTAGACAAGTATTTTTGGTTAGCCTGTGCACTTAGCTATGGATATGCTAAGTGTGGCGGTAACACGCTCAATTTCCTTTTTGTCATTCCGCTGCAACATTTTAAGTATTTCTAAATAAAGTTCATCATTTTCATTTGGATAAATTCTTATTTCAATATTTTTTTTGGGTGGGAAATTGGGGGTGTTACATTGATATTCTATTCACTACAACAAATAACAATGTAAATTCTATATAACAAAAAGAACACACTGGGATTCAAAATGAAATAAGGTAAAGTTGTCTTTATCTTAAAATTGGATATTTAAATCCAACCAGTAAAGTGTTATTTGATATATAGATAAATCAAAGTGAACAAGAATAGTGAACAACTAACTGGAACACAAAATGCAATAAGGTAATAACTTTTACCTTAATAGGATTTGTTATCCTACCAGTTAAGTTGTACACAATACCTGCTAAACTACACAAGTACTTAAAAGTGACAAGAATTCCAATGTACAAACTATGTATCAGATTAAACATACTGGAACTATAAAATGCAATAAGGTAAAAATTATTTACCTTACATGGATATTTAGATCCAACCAGTATAGCTTTAATTTGGTACATAAGTTTAATCATGTCACTTAAAGAAAGAAAGAGATTAGTAAAATAAGTGACAAATTTTACTGTGAAATTTGTACCAAATAAATTGTACTGGAAAGAACAAAATGCAATAAGGTAATTTTATTACCTTAATAGGATATTTAAAAGATCCTACCAGTACAAAATTTATTTGATACAAAATATTCTAAGTCACACATTTTACTTCACTACTTGAGCAGGTTCATGCACTCAGCTTCACGAGTGTAGTTGCAAGACAAGGCCAAAACATTCAGAATGAAAGAGCAGAGAAGACAAACAAATGGGTGAATAGTGAAGAGTTTCAGAATAGGCATGCAGCGATAAGAAGGCCTAAGGTATGGGTGTTATCTTCGTACAAAGCAAGTGGTCTTCAAAGACAAATCCTTATCCTGCTCCAACACAAGAAGACGCAAGTACAATACTTTGGACGTCTAGGATTAAATCCTCTTAACCAACGGAGGAGATTAATCTACTGGAGATGCCTATAAAAATAGGCAGAAGCATGAGATCAAAAGTAAGTCATTGAGTTCAAAGCAAGAGATTCTATTATTACACTACGAATATCCAACAAAAGAAAAAGTGCTAGAATACTCTGCTTTGACTCATGCTTCACTAAGCTCTTAGACTAGATCATAAATTGTTATATTTTTAGAGCTTAGATTTTAGTTGGTGGCCAGAAATTCCTTGTATTTTACAAGTGGTTGTAAACACTTAGGAGAATAGTTGTTCGGATCCTAAAGTGTGGTTAGATAGATAGAGTACCTTTTGATCCCCACTGGATCAATTGAGAAAAGTCTAAGGACTGAGTAACTTTGAGTGGTGTTATACTCATCGTGAAAAACCTTCAATCTAGGCCAGAGTTGTCAAGGCTAGATTGGCACTAATTGTATTGGGCTGAATACTTTAGTGGAAATCCATCTGAAATAGGGTGGGACTGGATGTAGGAGGATTACACCACCTCTGAACCAGGATATATCGTGTGTTGATTTACTTTCATACATGCAGAGCACACACCAAACACATCTCACTAAAGGATTGTAGTTTGCCAGCAGCATCCTAAGCAGTAGTCTTCATCGACTGTACTGCTTAGCCTACTGCTTAATAACTCACTCTCCTTGAGAGTGTTTTCCACTAGAAGTTATCTTACACTCAGAAGGTGCCTCAGCAGTACCCTGGTCTTCACCCTCCTGCTGAGCCCACTGCCCATCCATATATGTCTTTCCGAACGCCATAACAAGCCAGAACAAAAAGCCATCCAAGAGTTATCCTGTTCTTAACAGTTGCCTCAGCAGTAACCTGCCCACCAGCCGACTGCCAACTCAGCAGTTGCCTGCCAGTCAGCAAACTGCCTGTGCAGCAGTAGACTAAGCAGTTACCTGCTCACCAGTCTATTGCCAAGCCTACTTCCTCTTGTAACCAGTCTAAACATCATCTAAACTAGAAAGTTATCTCACACTAAGTATAAAGAGGTTAAAGACTTCCGCTGTGCATCTATTAATCTCTTAAAAGATTATAGATCAACTCATCTAGAGGGAAAACTTCATAAAGTTGAAAAAGATTTAAAAGTCTATTCACCCCCCCCTCTAGACTTTTACCTCTATCCGGGACCATCAGTATATATATATATATATATATATATATATATATATATATATATATATATATATATATATATATATATATATATATATATATATATATACATAGTAGTGTTCCTGTCAGGACCTCCAAAAACGGACCTCCGCACGGACCTCGGTGTTTGGGCCCCTTCCCGGTGGAATTTTTTGATGAAATTGTTTGAGCATGTTCTTCATCAAGTCTAGTTTATCCATACCAAATTTCAGCTAAAAATGTCATCGGGAGGCAATCAAATAAGTTTTGGAAGATAACTGCATTTTATATGTATATAAAGTGCGCAATTAACTTCAAAAAATCATTTGAATTCTTTCCCTATGGAATTGTTAGCTGAAATTTGGTATGGATAAACTAGACTTGATGAAGAACATGCTCAAAAAATTTCATCAAAAAATTACACCGGGAAGGGGCCAAAACGCCGAGGTCCGTACGGAGGTCCGTTTTTGGAGGTCCTGACATGAACTTTCCTGTATATCTATATATAAATTTTATTAGTTAGATAAAATGTTATAAAAGTGACATTTTAAAGATATAGGAAGTATATAGTAATAATATGTGCACATGGTAACGATAATACACACATGGTAATAATGCATATAGATACCTTATAAACAGCATGACACATGCGTGTGATAGTTGTATACACATAATACATATGTACCTACTACCTAATATGTGACACCGCACCCGAACGTCCTTGAAAATTCAATTTAAATTCAAGGTTTATGTATTGAATTTCCGATTTCCAAACAATTGTAAAACAATTGTTGGTTTACGTAGTGCATGATGGAATATTGTACTGTTCAAACTCGTATATTACTGTCGGGTTTTGCAAATACTTATTTGGGCCTTATTAATGACATAAGAGCCCAACATTACCTAAATAATGTTATTTAAGTTTTCAAGACAATTTTAGGAAGGTCGGGCGGCCCAAACATTATTTTGGGCTCAACCTGCTAAAAATAGCAAGTATTCGAAAATGACGTCCCAGGCTCACTCGAGGGTGACCCACACGGATAGTAGTCCAATAATATGAATGACAATGTCAAAATAAGTGATTGAATGATTAGAGAAGGATACAAATGCCTATGATCCCATCTTTGACATTATTGAGCTAAATAATGGGAGTATGATTTTTCCTTCTATACTATTCATCATGTAAATTATTGGGTTGGTGCTACACATATTGGGGAGCAATAATATGATGTATGAAGTTGACTTGGCCTACATAAAATATATTGAGTACAAAAAGACATCTCATGACAAAGGTAAAACAGTAGGGTCCATCTTTTCATTTTGGAACTATTGGTAGGTATTTTGGAACCCAAATGGAATGGGATCATTTGGGAACCATCCCACATGACCTTGGTACCTGCAAGACAAATAAAAATGGGTGAGACAACTATGTGGGGCGGACATTTGACTTAAGAGCTACAACATTACAAAAAGGAAATAAAAGAGGAGGTCCACACCATGTTTGATTGCAATCAAACATCCTACCCTTCTTTTTGTGAACCACATGCTCTTTTATCATGATTTAGGCCTCCTATACACTCCACCCTACACCCCATTCGAACCCCAAGAAGATAAGAGAGCAAAAAGGATCCACACAACCCAAGAGAGAAGGAAGGAAGAGAGCAGTCCGCAGGTTCGTTCTTCAGTGCGTAGTGCTGATTGTTTGAGCCATAACTTGAGATTCACTTCGTCCAATTAAGGCGTATAAGATACCAAAAGAAATCTATCAAGACGAGGAATCCGTGAAGGTCTGGTTTGCATCAATCGGATTAGTGGAACACAACCTCGCAGAAACGGGTTTACTCTCCTAAGGTGAGTGTTGACCCCAAAACCTTTCCTTTCACTTTTCAAATGATATGAACGATTGTTGAGACTATTATACACTACTTCAAGTGTATAATATGTCCCTATTAAGTTATTTTATTGATGTAAAGGTTAGATACTAACCTAGAGCAAATCTTGGAAAACTAGGAAACGAGTTAGCCGGAAAACACTCATTCTAGGGGCTGTTTTCGTATCAACGATTAAGGGTTGAACTAACACTTTGAGGAGGCGGTTTAACACTCAATTCCAAGCAAGGAATCAGTTCTCAAACCTTCTTGGTCGAGGCTTTGGTCATTGGATCGAGAATGAAAGTTTTAAAGCTCATTTGAGGTGAGGATTGACATCTAATTGCTTACCACTTGTAGGTTAAGCATGAGATTACCTAAATACCTAAATGCCTAAATCATAATTTTTCATGGATTATGATGATTAAATATTGATGAAATATGGATATAGTTCCCAAAGAATGAAATTGGAAATGATTTGAGGATGTATGAATAATATGAGATTAATTGAGTTATAAATGAACTATTTTGTGAAATAGGGATTTTACTCATGTATGAATCATGTGGATACATAAATGAATAATTATGTATTGAAATTGAATACTTAAGTTGCTGCTACATGCTTATAAATATGTAGAGAATTACAAAATGAGAGTATTTGTATGATAACAATAATCTTAATAGTATTGAAATACTAGTTAGTGATTATTGGAAATTGTTGATAGAATTGATCTTAAGGATTGGATTGTATGAAATGCACTTGAATATACTTCAAGAGTGTATAATGACTTAGTATGAGACTAAGGTTAAGTTATGGGCAGTCTTTAAGGATGACCCATGGTAGTTTATTGATATGTCAATTCTAGACATAGGGTTGCTTAAGAATTGGACCTTGGTGCATGGTGATGTGATAGAGCCGAGCTCTAGAATGCATGGTAAGGTGGTAGACTTGTAGTCTATGTATGATATAACTAGAGCCGAGCTCTAGGGCTTGCGTGGTGATGTGATAGAGCCGAGCTCTAGAA